CGGCCTCCCCGCACCTGCTGCAATCTGTGGATGGTGAGCCGTCCCATGGGAGTCATTTCATGCCGCCCCACTGAGGGACACTGCCCCATAGCCACCGAGCAGCTTGCTCAGCCAAGGACAGGGTGTGGGTCGCATGAGTGGCCCTCCTTCATTTCAATGGGGTGCATGTGGCCTGTGCACCCTTTTCTGCCCCTCTCCTCCCCCCCACACACCTCTCGTGCACTGGGACCCACACTGCCCTTCCCCCCAGAGTTCGGACAGCTGTGAATCAGCTGATTCGTGGCGTTCTAGCTTTGGGGGGAGGAGCCGGAACGGAGCCCGGATCAGCTGATTCGTGGCGTTCTAGCTTTGGGGGGAGGAGCCGGAACGGAGCCCGGATCAGCTGATTCGTGGCGTTCTAGCTTTGGGGGGAGGAGCCGGAACGGAGCCCGGATCAGCTGATTCGTGGCGTTCTAGCTTTGGGGGGAGGAGCCGGAACGGAGCCCGGATCAGCTGATTCGTGGCGTTCTAGCTTTGGGGGGAGGAGCCGGAACAGAGCCCGGATCAGCTGATTCGTGGCACTCCGAAAGGGCTGGGAATGTGGGGGAAGCGTGCCCAGTGCCCCAGTGGATGAGAGGTGGGTGGGGAGCGAGGTAGATAGGTGTCTGTGGCCCACAGGCGGCCCACGGGCCGTAGGCTGCTGACCACGGCCAGGGAAGGTGGAAGGAGCTCTCTTCCAGCCCCACCAAGCCCTTGCTCATCCCTTCTTTCCCGTTGCTTCGGTGCAAAAGAGCGCAGGAGATGCGCCCTCCTCTAGGGAGGAGCGGGGCTGCGTTGTGTCTCCTCGATGAGCCAATGTCGCCCGGCGCGCCCGTGGATCGGTTCAAGCCATGCCGCTCTCAGACCGGCCATTGTGCCTCCGTAGCCCCTCCGGGGTGATGATGGTGAAAAGCCGGAATAACAAAACTCCTGCAGAAATCTGCTGGCCAGCTCCTGCCCCCCCACCCCCACCGGGGCTAGTAGCAGCCAGGGCAGATAGGAGCCAGGGGTTTTTGCCTGAGAGGTCTGTCCTGCCCCAGGAGGGGGTGGAACGTGGTGGAAAAGGCCCGGGGGGTTAAAGGGAAGTCCGCTCCCGCCCCCTGCAGTGCGCCAACCTGCAGACGGCCATCGCGGACTCTGAGGAGCGGGGCGAGCTGGCCCTCAAGGACGCCCGGGCCAAGCTGGCGGAGCTGGAGGCGGCCCTGAACAAGGCCAAGCAGGACATGGCCCGCCAGCTGCGGGAGTACCAGGAGCTGATGAACGTCAAGCTGGCCCTGGATATCGAGATCGCCACCTACAACAAGCTGCTGGAAGGAGAGGAGAGCAGGTGGGGGCAGGACAGAGCACAGGAGGGGAGGGGGAGTGTCTTCATCGCCGTGATTCAGACAGGGAAACTGAGGCACGGAGCGTCCATTGAGATCAGCTGCCGCACTCCAGGGGCTCTGTGCTCCAGGGGCCTGCTGTAGGGCTCTGGGCACTGCAGGGAGCCAACCTCAACCTCCTGCTGCCCCCAGTCTTGGCTGCTGCCCCCAGCCTCCGCTGGCCCTTCTGCCCTTAGGTTCCCAAGCCTGGTTCAGGAGCGCCTGTGCTTCTGCTGGAGAGTGCCGGTTTTCAGAGGTACACCCGGTACACGGACAGTTATCGGGTTTTACGATAGTGGGGGGCCGTTACGACGTACCCCCGACAGATGCAGACTCGCTTCCTAGGCAAACGTGCAAACAGATGGGTCTTGACGGTCCCTTTTGTCCTTAAAGTCTCCTTCCCAAGCCTGGTTCAGGAGCGCCTGTGCTTCTGCTGGAGAGTGCCGGTTTTCAGAGGTACACCCGGTACACGGACAGTTATCGGGTTTTACGATAGTGGGGGGCCGTTACGACGTACCCCCGACAGATGCAGACTCGCTTCCTAGGCAAACGTGCAAACAGATGGGTCTTGACGGTCCCTTTTGTCCTTAAAGTCTCCGAAGAGCTTAGCCCCCGCGTAATTTGCTCCCTCGATGGCTGGCACCAGTGTGACGGCGAGTTGGGGTTCCCCTGATCCGGCACCCCCGGAGCAGCCGGAACAGTCTCCCCCAGCCAGTCGAACAGAGGCGTTTATTGATTTCCCAGAATACAGCCCAGCACAGACAGGATGTGGCTACAGGGGGCAGGGCCAGGATGGCTCAGGCCCTAGGGTTAGGGTCCATCACCCCTAGCCCCCAGCTTAGCCTGTTCTCTCCATGCCTCCAGACAGCAACCGCCTCCCTCCAAGGCCCTGCCCCCCCAGCCAGGTGTTGGTCTACACCTTCCTCCCTTTGTGTCTCTCCTTGGGAGGCTGAGCCTAGGTGTCTGGGTTAATACACATTTGGGTGAGTCAGTGGGAATCACATTACAGCGCAGCCATATAAGGGTCTGCTGCTTGCTAGTCCCAGAGTCTAGCCCCAGGTCTTTTTGACACCTACTTGTGGCCACAGATTGTCATGGGGACCTAATTATCCACTGCGGCCTACTCATTTCCCTCCGCTCTTTTAGTGCCAGGAATCCCAAGTGCAATACTCAATTGTAGGAGCAGTTATGATCCCGTGTTTCGGGGAACGCAGCGCCTGGTACGACAGGGCATCTGACCAGCCGGTGGTTTTCTTGCAGCTGTGGTCAGCTCCAGCGCCGGAGGTGGTGGCGGAGCTGGTTTCGGAGGAGGGTTTGGCGGCTTCGGCCTAGGAGGAGGCGGAGGAGGATTTGGCTATGGAGGCGGGAGCAGCCTCGGTCTCGGAGGAGGGAGCGGAGGGCTCGGCTACGGATGCGGAGGAGGTCTCGGAAGCGGAGGGTTCAGCTTCTATGGAGTTGGTGGCAGCAGTGGGATGAGTGTCGGCGGAGGGAATTTCAGCACCGGGAGTGGCAAAGGCACAGGGATAGGAACCAGCGTGGGTGTGAAAATTGTCTCCAAAACCTCTTCCAGTAAGAAGACCTTCAAGAGTTAAGTTTGAGCAATTCTCCACTGCTCCGGTGATAATTATGCACACCCACCTAGGTATAACATGGAGTTGGTGGCAGCAGTGGGATGAGTGTCGGCGGAGGGAATTTCAGCACCGGGAGTGGCAAAGGCACAGGGATAGGAACCAGCGTGGGTGTGAAAATTGTCTCCAAAACCTCTTCCAGTAAGAAGACCTTCAAGAGTTAAGTTTGAGCAATTCTCCACTGCTCCGGTGATAATTATGCACACCCACCTAGGTATAACTTCCTCTTGACACTAGCCCCCGTGACAAAAATCCACCACTCTACCAAGAAAACCCCTGTAGTAAATCCTCCATCTTTCATTAGTTCAGCTACCCCCTGATAGTTCTAGCATGAATGGTATTGACCCAACTTGTTTCCTGACATCATAGCTTTTAAGCACTTGCATCCTAATTCAGGAAAGCTGCTAAGCATGTGCTTAAGTAAAGCGTGTGCTCAAGTATTTTCTGAAAGGGACTCAAGCCCGTGTTTAAAAGCTAAGTGCTTGTGTAAGGGAACAGGTGTCTGCTCTCCCTTTGACTCCAACTACTCTTTTTGTCTTGGGAGCGAGCTCGGAGATTGATTTATCATGTCTGCAGCAGACCCGATACACTGATGGCCAGTGGATCGCGTAGACAAGGCTTTTGACTGCAGTTTGTGACACCTGAGAGGTTGCCAACCTTTCCAAGCTCGCCACCCACACCGAAGAACTTAAGGGAGACATTTTTCAAAAGAGCCTAATGGATTTAGGCACACACATCCCATTAAAAGTCATTCGGCCTCGTTAGTGCCTTAGAAGGTCTGTTCCAAAAATCTATATTTAGGCTCCACAAATAAGTGGCTTAGTAGGCACAGACGCTGAAGTCAACAACGCCGTGAGAAGTTCGGCACTTCTGAAACTCCGGCGACTGTTCGGAAGCTGAATATGGATTAAGGAAGTGGTGAAACTGACTTTAGGTAGCTGCCTTTGAACATGTTCGCTACAGCCACACTGATTAGATGCGCCAATGGCTTATCAAATGCTAATCTTCATGTGCTTTTCTTGAAAGGAACCTTTACCCAATTGTGCTACATTTTCAACACTAAGCCCAAAGGCAAACATGAGATTTACCACACAGTTTACATGTAGTCTTGTGGTCATGTGTTACCAAAGGCTACAGTGTACAAATGCCCACATCTGTTTGTGTAAGAGCTCTAGTTTTGATCTACTGGGAATAAAACAAAATTAACCAGGGCCAGGTCGGATTTCCAAAAGAATAATTATGCTGTAATGTTTACACTGACAAAAAGACTCTAGCTAGTCTCGCTCTGGATAACGTTTTTTTAAGCGACAGAGTAATTAATGTAGGAGCCTAAGTCCTCTTGGCCTTCCATGAGAATTATGCTTCTTAGTGATTTAGGCGCTTTTGACAAATTTCGTCTGTATACACGCAAAAGACAAGGAATGGGATTTTCAAAAGCTCCTAAATCAAATTTTCAAATATGCTCAAGTGACTTAGGCATTTTCAAAAGTGACAGGCATTTGGGGCCCCGATCGTCAAAGGTATTTAGGTGCCTAATTCCGATGGAAATTAGTGGGAGTTAGGTGCCTAAATACATGCCTTATCTGGGTCTAAGAACTAAAGCCTCATTGAAAGTCAATGGCATGAAAGCTCCTAAATTCCTAAGTCAATTTTCAAAATAGAACCTTGGCACCAATTTTTTAAGGGAGTTTGACACCTAAAGGTGCTCAGAGGTGTCCGGTGAGCATTTCAAAACCATGTATGTGCCTAACACGTTAGGTGTTTAAAACTCCACTAGGTGCCTAAATAGCTTTACAAAGCTTATCCCCATAAGTGCTTTTGAAAATCAACACGGTAGGGCTGTGTCTACACTGGCCACTTTTTCCTGAAAATCAGCCGCTTTTCCGGAATAACTTGCCAGCTGTCTACACTGGCCCCTTGAATTTCCGGAAAAGCACTGACGATCTACTGTAAGAAATCAGCCGCTTTTCCTGAAATACTATGCTGCTGCTGTTTGGGCAAAAGTCCTTTTTCCGGAAAACTGTTCCGGAAAAGGGCCAGTATAGAAAGTACAGTAGTGTTTTCTGCAAAAAAGCTCTGATCGTGAAAATGACGATCGGGGCTTTTTTGCGGAAAAGCGCATCTACATTGGCACGGACGCTTTTCCGGAAAAAGTGCTTTTCTGGAAAAGCATCCTGCCAATGTAGACGCGCTTTTTCCGGAAATACTTATAACGGAAAACTGTTTCGTTTTAAGCATTTCCGGAAAATCATGCCAGTGTAGACATAGCCTAGGTGTTTAAAACTCTACTAGGTGCCTATATAGCTTTACAAAGCTTATCCCCATAAGTGCTTTTGAAAATTCCACCTGAGATCTCTGCTCTGAACTTTTTACAGTACTGAAAGAGAAATATATACAAAAAGAGTAAAAAAGGAGAGAAAAGTGAATGTGTGTTTTAAAAAAATACTTTATGAACCATTCACTTTTCCAACAGGGCAATTTTAACTCTGATTAAATGGCTATTAAGAATGAAACCAGTAAATCATAGTACAATTCTTAAGACACACATGTGGAACATTCAAGCAACATATAGCACAGATGATAAAATATATATTTGTCCACAGAGGTTAGACTCTCATGTAAATCACACTGATGCAAATCTGAAATATTTAACTTGGTATTAAGAAGTTACTCCCTATTTGCTATTGAAATTTGAATCTGTCATGCTAAATAATTTTATATTGCACTTCTAAGTATATACATCAGTAGCAAAAGACACAGCAAAAGTCCCTACAACTGAGTTATAGCTAAAATTTTTCTGAACTGCCTTCATGAGTCCTATTCAGGTTTTTTTGTTTCTTTCACGTTATTTTTTGTGATTGCACCACTAAAAAAAGTTACAGTTTTATATACGTCTTCAAGAATAATGACAAACAATAATTACTCCGTGTTTTACTCCCTTTTGACTTTTTGGAATGTGTCCAATAAAACTGGATTGTAATTTACCATATATTACTGCCTATTTTTACCCAAGAGGTGAGTTTACAGTACAGAATATTTCTGCACCTTCTTTCACAGTAGATTGATTTATTGTAACAAACAAAATGGGCTTTTCTTTTTCCACATGGAAAATGTTTCATTTTGGTAAAAAAAAAAAAAAAAAACCTCAAAACCCAAAAAGCTGAGTACAGCTGCCATTTTTGGCTGGTTGTTTTGGCCCAACGTTTCCAGTTTTCGACCACTGACGACCAATATTTTTCAGCAGAAAATGGAAAAACATTTGGCTGCAAACTGAAAAAAAGTCGGTTTTCTGCTTAAAAAAATTGTCAAAGAAAGCAGATACTTTCTGTAAACACTTTCCTTTAATGGAAAATGTACATTCCATCAAAACAAAGTTGTAGCCAGCTCCACTAATGAACAGCAATAATTTTGCTGAGTGATTTTGGAGACGGTTTAAGGTCTAATCCCAGTGGGTTTTTCTAGCCTTAGAAATTATGC